CTCCCTTTTCGCTTCACTGAGTTGTCAGCCCTATAGTTGTATAAAGCTAAATGCTATATAACTTCAAATCTACAATCTAATTCAGAATTAGTCTTACTAAAAAAATATATCTCCCTCTCGCTCCCTCTTGCTCTCTCTCTCTATCTCTGTCATTCTCTTACCACCCTGTCTCAACTTCTGACAACTATCTAACACGACGTCTTATAACTTTATGCTTCGAACATGACACAAAGCTGCGTGTTATGCAACTGCTCAATAAATATGTGAACGCTCAAAAGTATGTTTGGCTTGGCTAAGAAAACTGCAGATATTGTTCCATTTGTTTGGTGCAACAATGCAGCAAGCAGAAGAAGAGCTAAAATATTTTGAAGAAGAAGAGCAGAAGAGGACATTGCAGCGGCAACAAGTGTGAATGCGATGCCAACAACAGCGGCAACAACAGCAACATATTTTCATCGATAAGTGCGTTCGACCGTTACGCACACACACACACATACACACACACGCGCACAACTAAATCCATATTTTATGATGCAAACATTGGCAAAGAGTTTTGCTTGAATTGCCAAAGGGGAGACTTAAGCCAGGTCAATGCGAGCAGCAACTAACCTGAAAATACCCTGTAATTTGTAGTTAGCACTGGAAATGATGTATTTACAATTTAATGTAATTGATTTATTTTTAGTATATTCGTTGTATCTAAAGCAAACAAACGATTAGACAGCCTGAGCTTTTTTAAACATATTTTTTGGGTTTTGCGTTAAGCGCGAGAAAAGCGATGAACAGGCAAGAAATATTCATTTCGAAATGCGAATGCCCAAATTCCAGAGTATTGTTATTTAAAGGCTTCTCACTAAACGGCTTAACGCAATTTCCAATCGATTCGAAGAGGCCTTCAATTAAAAAAGTTCGAATTTAGCATTTGTATCTAAAATGTAGCATGAAGTAAAAGGAAAAGTTTTTCGCATCTAATGCAAACTTAAATATTATATTATTAATATTATTATTTTTACTTTAAAACAATATTTTAGACATTTTATTTTCTTATTCCGAAAATTTACTCTCGTTCAGCTTAAAATTTGATCATTTCGGATTTGCCACAATCTAGCCATTTGAGTAGGTGTATTTGAGTTCGAGTGGGTCTACAGTGATCCATATATAAGACTAGGAGAGTGTTGTGTATGTGTTAAATGTATCTCACTTATAATTTCTCTGCTCCATTGCTTTTCTCCCAGTAGGGCGACTGAGTGAATAGAATTTACTACTGCGTTCACTAAAATAGTAGTGCGACTGAGCGCCAAATGCTGCACAACACAATTTAGTGATAAGCCCAATATTTTTACTTTTACTCTTTCTTTTTTTTTACTTTTTGGAATGAATTTTAAGATCAACATATTTTATATTGCTTAAGATATTTTAGGTGTGTTTTAGAGGTATAAAGTTATGTTCATAAAATAGTAGTGCGACCCTATACAAAACATACCATTTTATAATAAAATATTAAAACGATTTTTCATAAAATCATATATATATATATTTTTTATTTTGATTTGTAATAATTATTTTTTTTTATTTATTTTTATACATTTATTAACAAAAATAAAACAATTCTTTTTACTTATTTAAAGTTAAAAAAAAATTAAAAATAATTTATTATCTTAAAAAAATATATTTTTGCTAATAATATTTTCATAAATTATTAAAAAATATTTAAAATTATGTTTTATAAACAATATAATATTATATTTAAAAGAGGTCTTTAAGCTAGGCAGAGAGACTTTCAAATAAATAAATATAATACATAATTTATAGTTAAACAAAAAACTTTAAAGATTTAAGTAAACAAAAATGGAATTGAAATTTTATTTATTTAAGTGCTGATATGCCCGACTGCGCTCAGCTGCAGTGCAGGGTATATGCCAGCAGCTAGATGCCGCCCACGCTTGTTACCAATGCATGGCCACGCCCATACGCCCATACGCCCACACACACGCACGCATAGACTAAATAGTTTATGTTGTTTACCAGGCAGCTTGCAGCAGTTGTTGTTGCTGCAGTTGTTGCTGTTGCTGCTGTCGTCCTGCACTTTGGCATTAAGCAAAGCGCCTGAGCCTTGGAAAGGATGCCAATGCCAATGCGGCGGGAAGTGAAGCGGCAAAACACGTAGCGAACGCCATCGAGCGGCGGCATTCATGTGCACTGTATGCGACTTAACTGGCAGTGGACTGGGGAGCGTGGCATGTCCTGCTATTTGACTGTGTCCTGGTTACCATTGTTGTCCAGCTGGCTTCTCCAAGCGCCCGCATCTGAAATCTAATAAAAAAAAAATAATAGAAGAATAGGAAAAAGCACGCAGCATCTCTTGCCTTTGCTATTCTTCCTCGCCTTCTTCGACTGTTTTGAGTGCAGCACAGTTGATAAGAGACGTGTTAATGCAGTGCTTAAATAGGAAAAGATTCTGATTCACAATATTTTTCTTTTCATTCCCATTAAAAAAGGAAAAAAAATAAAAATTCTGCTAAAATAAAAATGGAATATCAAATACTTGTTTTACTCTTTCCTATTTTTATTTCTTAATTTAATTTCTTTAGTTTTTAATTTTAAGTATCTTATATTTTTAAACAATTCAAAATAACGTTTAGTGCAATTAACATATATCCATGAGCTGTTAATGTTAAAGCCCACGACTGTTCAAATAGCCCTACTGTTGCTTAACAGCGTACTTTTAACGCATATGCGGCGTCTGCATGAAAATGCAGCGAGTTGCAGAGAGCTACCGAAACGCAGATGTTGTTGTTGCGCGTGGGTGAACGAGAGCGCAATTCAAAGAGAATAGCAAACGCTTAAGAGTAAAGCGAAGTACTTCCACTCTTTACTTTAGTTAACTGACAATTAGTGAATTTATCGATAAAATTGCAAGCTGTTAAGATATATATTTGTTCAATATGAATTTTAAAAGAGGACACTAATGATCCATTATTTAGAGCAAATTCCATATTTAATAAAAATATAACACATATAACAATTATTGCGAATTATTTGGTAAAATTGAAAATGACTTAAACAGTAAATAAACACAATCAAAAGCAAATAAAATAATATTGTATCAATGTATAAAAAAATATATAGTTATATGCGCATATGATTGGTTATTGTATAACACGCCATATTTTCATCAGCGTTTGCCCACTGTGCGATTTTTGCCAGTCACAAACAACAAAAACAACGCTCTGAGCAAAACACACACACACACGCACAATATATACATGCGTATGTTTATATACATAGAAAACGACGCTCTGGCGCTCATTACAACGCTGAGTGGGAGAGTGGGAGCGAGAGCAAACATATTTCACTTGCGCGCTCTGGTTACGCTCTCAGCAAGCAGACCAGGCAATCAGGCAGCAGCACTTGCGCTGCGTGCGTGTTTGTGTGCTTGTTCCGTTCGTTTTGTGGCTGTGGCAGTGGTGCGAGGTGCGCACGCATGTAAAAGAGAGCGTGCGTTTACACGAGCGAATGTTCATATGCCGGACTGCTCGCACACAATGTGGTAAATGTGGTTTTTTACCGCTGAGCGCGCCGCTCATTTTCTCAGTACGAATTGAGACACTGTGGCGCACGGTTGAAAACCTTTTCAGTAGCAAGCAGCAGAAAAGCGCACACGAGAAATCCAAATCCAAATCCAACAACGAGAGACGGCAGTTTGTGTGTGTACTATTATAATTGTATTGTGTATAAGTGTATATACACTTACGTGCATGTGTGTGCATCTTGCATATAGCCATCAATTTAAATTAAATACTTTTTTTGGGCTTAATTAAATACTTCCGCGCGTCGTCGTTCTCGTCGCCGCGCCAGTTTTTCCATTGCGTGCGGCTGTATTCGCTCTCTCGCCTCGCCGCATTGACGTCGACGTCACATAAACACACACTCACACACACAAACAGACTAGACACTCTCTCACACACACATACACAAACACAGACGTAAACACGTTCACATAACTCTCTCGAACTCGATTGTTGCTGCTCTCGTTCTCGCAACACTCTCGCTGCTTTTTTGGGTGCCAACTATCTCTGTCGGTTGTGTCACTGCCTCTACTCTGTTATTTCTGTCTCTGTCTGGCCAACTCTGTCGCATTCGTTTTGTTTGTGTTGTATTAAAAAGGGCCGCCGAGAAGTAAGCAGCTAGCAGCTAGCAGCGCGGACACGCGATAGTCGTAACAAAACAACAGCAAATAATCGTTTGCATTCGAATTTAGACAACAAAAAAACAACAAACAATATTTGTATCAATTATAATTAAAGTGCAGCAGCAACAATATAATTTGCAGTGTACAGTATATATAAAAAAAAATAGAAAACATCGACAACAACCAGCCAAAACAGAAGGTAAGCAGAAAAGCCGACGCCTAACGGGTGAAAGTGTTATTTTACCGTTTCATTGTGCCTGCACTTGCATTGAATTGCATACATATGCAATTATGCATATACGGTGACGTGTCTGTGTGTATTCGTGCGTGTTTTGTGCCTTTTTAGTGCATTGCAAATATCTTTGCTAATAAGTTTGTAAAGTTTTCTTAGCGCGTCGTTTGCTTTGCTATTTTGCTTCGCAGCAACAACAAAACCGAACCGGTAGGAGATTGCTTTGCCACCCACGAAATAGCCAAACAAAAAGGGCAGCATAAAAAAATGCACAAGGTACTTTTGCTCTTGGCAGTCCGCCTCTCCCAAAAATACGTTCTCCCGCTTGCGGTGAGTTTCTCTCTTATGCTATAGTCTCTCCTATTGCAACCCCTATCAAAGCGCGTGCAGCTGCCGCTGCTGCTGCGACTACTGCTGTTAGCGGCTACCTGTGTGACGTGCGTACGCTTGCTCTCTTTCGCTGCCACCGTCGCTGCCAACGCTTCGTGCTTGCTGCACACGACTAAAAGAGCCGACGTTGACGCTTGCGAACGCCGCTCTCACAGGTTTTCATTTCTTATTTGACCGTCATTCGCCAGCGCGGCGCCGAAGTGTACAACAGCAGAAGTCTTCAATATAACGGATGAAAATTACTTACACACCACAAAAACAAAAATAAATACAAATAAAAAAAGAAATAAATAAAATTAAATAAAAGCAGTTACATTTTCCATACATTCATGCATATGTATGTGTTAGAGAGCGAATTCAATTGTCAATTGTCAAAGTTAACTGTAAGTAGGCGCCGTCTAAATGTCAATGCAAGCACTCAAAGCCCATTGACAGTTTAAATTTTACAGAGTGCCGTTTTCCTTTCGCAACAATTAACAAAAAAAATAATTACAAAAATATTACAAAATAATTACAAATAAAATATAAAAAAACAAAACACTATGTGCTTATAATATAAATTTTAATAATTTTCAATTATGTACTAATAAAAAAACAAAAGCTTGCAAATTCTAGCTATATTCATAGAGTGGAAAATAATAACAAAAATTGACAAATTCAACAGTTTCAAACAAAATTAACTGTTGTTGTTCGCCGCCATTTTTGAGAGTGGTAAATCGCAAAAGAAAATTTGTGAAAAGCTTAATGAAATACAACAATAAAAGGCCTTGTGTATATATGTGTGTGTGACTCTGTGTGTGTGTCTGTGTCTGCGTGTCTTTAAAAAGTTCGTTCGCTTTTCCAGCGCGCGGCTTTTTTGTTTCATTAATGAAAAATCAACCCCCGGCATTTTTGGCCAAGCGAGCGCCCCCACAAACAAAGCAGAAATCAACAGTGGCCGCCGCTGTTCTTCTTCTTCCTCTGTTTCTTCATTCTCTAGCAATTCTATTTTCCCATTTTCCCTTAAGGGTTGCAGCAAACACAAAAAAAGAAAAGAAATAGAAAGAAAGCAACAAAAAAATAGCAACAACTTTTCAAGTTTACTTTTCTACGCGGTTTTCCGCTGTTCAAAGTTTATACGCTGGCCGTGTTTCATTTTCATTTCGTTTCACATACACTGCTGTTTCGCTGTTGCTTCTGTCACACACTTGTCACACTGTTCGTCTGTGTGCTTTGTTACGGTTATCCGTTAACCGTTATCCTTCGCATTCATTTTGACATTTTTCGGCCATATTTCCTTCATTTTTGTTCTTTCTAAACGTTGCCGTTTTGCCGGCGCTTTTTGGCCGTGACTGCTGTTGCTGCTGCTGCTGCTGCTGTGGCTGCTGTTTCTTATTCTACTCGTCTCCACGAGGGTTGTTTCTGTAATTCGCGACTCTGTGTGCGTGTATTTGTGTCTGTGTATTGTGTTTTTGTCTGATGGTGCGACTGATTTACGCGCTCGAGTCTCCAATTAGAACGAATTCCCCATTGTTGCAGTATATCACAAAAATATTATATATATATATATATATATTTTATATAAAATTATATATATGTTATATGATAAATTGCAATACATTTGATTGTTATGAAAAACTTCCTGTTGCTTTTATAATATTATTAAAAACAAGCTTTAAATATTGTGCTCTGCTTGCCTTGATGTCCGATAGTCGAGACATCATTTTTTGTATATTAAATTAATAACATTTATTTCCTTTGCTTCATCAGATATTTGTATAAGGTATATGATTTTTAATTGATCTACAAATTGCTTCTGTATTTTCTTTGTTATATTTACCATATGTTTATAACTAAATACACATGATATATGTGCGTTACACAATATTTACCAAATTATCTCCATCTGGCATATATTTATTTTTGTTTATTGTTTTGCTGATAAGTAGAAATTTGCCTATTGAATAGGCCAATCGATATGATTGATATGATTGCTGATAATTCAGTGTCTAATTGAGCATAGTTCGGAGATAAAATAAATGACTGTTAGATAAGCACACACACTATATCCATACATATATATATATATATATATATATATATATATCATAAATTAGCTAAATTATATATAGCTATTCTGTGGCTTTTTTTTTATATAAGCAATAGAATTTGCATGGCTTTAAGTGTTGCAAAATATTTTTTTATAATTTACTTTGATTTTGCTTTGCATTAAAAATATTTCAAATTTATATTATATTATTATTTATTATATAATATGTATAATATACATGTAATTTTTTCGTTAAAATATCTTATATCAAGCAATATAATATAAGAAGTTATAAATTTAAGAAAATATATATATTTTATGGGTGGATTCTTAACTTTGCCAATATCCACTGTATCGTTAATTTGTGTGACCAACAAAATAAAAAACAACAATGTTTACGTAAAAATTAATTTTCAATTATATTAGAAAGTTTTCCCCACACTTACCACAATTTGCATTGGAAGTTTTCACTCAATTGCTGTTTTGATATTTTCTTTGAATTCACCTGTTTTATTAACCTCCTTTTCTCTCTCTCTTTCTCTGGTTTCCTTCCTCTTTGCAGCTGATTCTACAAACGCAACAAAAAGCAAGCGATTAAAAATAAATCTTGTACAACACGCAAATTGAAAGTGCAATAAGAAGCAGGAGAAAACGTCAAACGCGGTTGAAAGTTCAAGTTGACGCAAGAAGTGTTTGAAAAAGGAAATAGCTAAAAATAAAATCAACATTTCAATAGATATATAGATATCAATATAGATATACATATATTCACAACTCTTCGGTATTGGAGGAGCTTGCAAAACCGCGCGCGTTTAATCAACATTTTTAGCAATCAATTTTTGTCGCCCCCTCTCCCCAAAAAAGTTTTGAGGAGTCTCGTGTGTTACGTTCTTCGTTTTCAAGTGAGTGTCACCCATCAAAGCCCACAAACACCTAACACACCATCACACACAGCCACAAGAACCACAACAACAACCGAGCACACACACATACATACAACACAGATACAGATATACACACAGACAGACGCACAACAACGTTAGTGTGCAACGCATCACATATTGCTTGTCCACTAAACTAAATTGTGAATTGTGAATTAGGCTGCGGCCAGAAAGTAAACGTCAAGATTCTATCGAAAAAAACACTGCTCAGCACGACGGAGGCTTCGCTCAACTATAACACGGCGACCACAATGCCCTATAACGGTGCTAGCAACGGCAGCGGTGGAGTTGGCGGTGCCGTAGCAGGCAGCAGCGTAAGCGGTGGCGGGGCCACCATCGTCGTCAGCGAGGGACCCCAGAACAAAAAGATACGCACAGGCGTTCAGGCCGGAGAAAACGACGTCACCATGCATTCACGGGTAAGTGCAATCGATAACTATCGATATTTAATAGAAATAAGTGAAAAAGTAGTAGAAGAAATAAGTAGAACACAGGCTTAGAGATAAATATTGATATAATTTATAGAACAGAGGGGAAGACATGTAAAGTTTAAAAACAACTAAGTCGTATTGATGCTGTTTTCAAGTGTTATAGATATATCTCGATACTTCACTTGCCGATAAATGTTATCGTCAGCTAAAATAAAAATTATTAGACTGCCTGAACTGTTATTAATTGTTATGAAATTTGCATTAAGATGTTTCACTTGTTTTCATACAAATTAATCAGAACTTAATCAGAACAACATATTATCGATACATTGTATCGATAAAATATCCATACCAGGCTTTCTTAAGAAGCCAACTTGTATTTATTTCATTAGTTCGTTATTGAGTTGCTTTCGAATGCTATCAGCGGGAATATTTCTCACAAAATTGAACCACCCCACAAAGTATCTAATAATAATTACCTGCGAAACGGTTCGATACACTCGTGCATTGGCTCCACTTTAGCCACCCTTATCAGCCAACGCTTGCAACGCACAGGCTTACGTACACGCATACATTCATCTATTGGCTTAGTTGTTTCATTCAATCAGTTTTTTTGGGGTAAGGCTCACCCCAAGCTTTGCTAACAGCCCGCACCCTTCGGCTGATATGTCAAAGGGGATGGCGGCCAGCACCAGGAGCAGAACCAAAATTTTATTCCTGATAAAGTTTTCGACCATAACTGTAGTTGCTTTGCTTGTTGTTGTTATTTTGGGGGTTGAAGTGCAGTTGGCAGAGAGGCTCGCACTTGAGGCTATCAACCAGCAGCAGCAGCAGCAGCGAGCACTTTCTGTACTTTCTGTTCTGTTCTTTGATTTTCAACTGTCATATGAATTACATTTGATGCAGCGCGAGAGTAGAAAGGGGTGTACATACAATATTTGATTTACATTCAAGTTTTCTAACGGTTACCAAGGACGGCAGCAAATGTTATTCAATGTGATTACGATGCCATTTATATTTTCCCAGAGTTTTCTCTAGTTCAAAGAAAAATATATGTAGAGACTTAACTTGAAGTTGGAAATGAACTCGAGCTGGAAATAGGTTAAACCAATATGATTCGACATTTTAAAGTATAAATAAGTTTGTTTTAAATTAAAAAAAATTATTAAAAAAAAAATTAGATAATTCAATATATATGATATATCTATGATATAAATATCTATATACAGCATATTATTCTTGATATAATTTGATTAAGGATGAATGATAAATTATATACTGAAAAATTTAAAAATACTAATATAATTTCTTATTGAAAAGAATTTTTAGAGTCTGGCAAAAATATTCCCAATTTATTTTTATTACCTTGCACTTTGCTGCAAGTCTGAACTATTGATTTTGAATTAATTAAATTCTAAATTTCAAAAGTATTTTTATTTGTTTTGGTAAATAAATGATTTCATAATTTGATATTAAATCACAGAATATAAATTTAAATTTATATGAATTTAAATTTATATTAAATAATGCAAGTTTTTATTTGGTTTTCAAATATACCATATTTAAAGAAAGATATGAAATTTTTTTTTAATGTGAAATTTTCAAAATATAAAATATTATTTCTACAGTATATTTTTAAAATATATTCCAAATATTTTCCCAAATGATATATAAATTAAATATCATATTACTCAAGAATTTTCTTTATACAAACTTTGCATTTTGATCAGTATAATAAGTATATATATATATAATATATAATGAATATTCTTAATTTTCTAGATTGCTTTAACTTACTATAATATTCATATCATTTCGCTTATGAAAGCAGCTGTCTGTCAGACAGCGTTCTATAAACTTTAGACACCAAAGCAGTTGCCTTTCAAATAAATATTTGATCCCTACTCGCATTTCAACTTTCTGTTTTCTATGAGGACTCTGTTTTTTTAATGCTGATCCCTCATTTTCTAGCACCTCTTTCGGGTCTGTTCAAAAAAGAAAACCGTTTAACCCGTCAGCGAAGTGCAGTTAAGCGTGTTGAACTTTTACATAAGATTTTGTTTTAGCGCATCCGTCGCAGGCCAAGTGCACTTAATCACATGGAAGTGTTGGCCAGGATGCAGGACGAGGCATATATATATACAGACAAGGAAGGAGACAGTGTGGGTGGAGTGACAGAGAGGCAGGAGGAGAGACAGAGAGAGTGAGTGAGTGACAGTCAGTCAGTCAGGTGTCCATGCTGGCACGTTTTGGGCGACAGATGCGCTGCTTTTAGCAAGGCACGTACGCAGCTCGCGGCGCCCGTTGTCAGAGAACATAAGCGAAAAAGGAAAAGCTTAAACGATGCCAAGTGGCAAGCGGTCGGGCTTGGCCTCACAACTACAGCGAAAGGGCCAAAGAGCAACATGGCCAAAACTCTTCAAATGTTCAGAAGATGCTGCTTCATGTGCTAATTGCACTGTCAGCTTGAGTGTGTGCAATAGAGAGGGCGAGAGAGACAGAGAGAGACTGTGAGAGAATGAGAGCAGACGGAAGCAACAGCTCAAATGCCAAATGAGACAAATACACTCACACACACAAACAACCACCTACGCACTCAGCCATAGCAAAATTTGTTGCATACTTTGCCACAACAAAAATTTCGCCGCATTGAAAATATCGCTAAAATATTTTCGCATCAAATTTCAGGCCATTGAACAGTTTCACATTTGGCTTACACTTTGTTCTATCGGTTCGGTTCGGTTCTACTAAACTTATAAACATATATATCTGTATGTGGGCGAAAAGGTAGACACACAAAAACAAACAACAACATTTTTATCGGCATGCCGTAGATAAAGCGCCGGCAACAACAGCAGACAACAAAAACACACAAAATTTTTAGCTCGAACAGACGCCGCTGGCACTGGCCAAAATCGATTTTTCCAACCCTCAACATGTGGCACAGCCGGCCCTTGCCTTTTGGTTCTCTATCTGTCTATCTGCCTATCTGCCTGTCTGACTGAAAGCAGCAGAAGACGACGCAAATAGCAAAACAAATGCGACGACAGTCGACTTCTTACAGCATTGGAAGTTTGTCAAACTTTTGGCGAAGACAGCGAAAGGTCAGAGAGAGTTAGTCTCAAGAAAATGATATAAAGTTGAATTTTGTGTGCGATATATAATGTAGATAAATCTAATAATAACTTATGCTAACTATCGATACATTTATCGCAAAACAATCAGACATATTGTGTAGAATGTCAATCAGGGAACGCCTAGACACATTCATTTAAAAAGATTGTCCGTCGGAGACTTTCCGAAAGACTACTAAATTGTACTTTAGCGCCTTTTACAATATTGAAAAGCGAAGAGTCAAGCGCATTTTGCAACACTGTCTCATAACAGTGAATGTCTCAAAAAATGGTTCTGAAGTATTTGCATTTGTAGAGTTTGTTTAAAGGAAATATTTTTGAATAAAACTATCGATGTGAGGCTTGAATGAGCTTCACAACACTTAAATTAGTAATTCGCAACACTGTTCGGAAAAAGTGAGTGTCAACAAAAAAAGTAACTACTTTTGGTATAATGTCTAGTCGTACGCATATGGAGCCTGTCTAAAACAGTTCGGGCGCCTTTAAATTTCCCTTTGCAAATCTGTGTCGGAAAAGTGAATGTGTGAACAAGAAACCTATTTATCGGAAATTAATTTAACGTGCTTCAACGAAAGAAACTATTAAATTCTATTTTACTGCATTTCGCAACACTTAAAATACCACTCGAAAATACTTTCTGAGAAAAAGTGCTATAAAATCGAAGCGACTTGACGCTTCGCAGCACTGAGGCAGGCAGATATATAAAATAGCATGTATTACAACACTACATCAATTGTGATTGCAAACGTAATTTGTGAAAGTTCTCAGGGTCATCGCAGCACTAAAATGGTATGTTTTACAACACATATATTAATACGTCGTAGTTTAATTTGTGAAAGTCATCCAAAGTTTGCGAATCTATAAAGCGTATAGATTTTTGATATTCCATATTAATATATATCTATATATATATATTTCGATATTTGATTTATTTGCTTGCTTGCTAACATTTGAGACTTCGCCTGACTGCTGCTGTCAAAGCTAACAATTTTCGACCGCAGCTTGCAGTGCGCTGGGTTGGCCTGCCTGCATCGTCTGGCACCACCAGCTCCTTCTGCCCAATTGCCACGCCTCCACGCCGAAAAAGCGACGCCGTTGCGTCTGGCTGCGTGACGCAGCGCAGTAACATCAACAGCCATAGCACATAAATTTTGCATGCAGCCAGCCAATGTACACAGAGCTGCCGCTACTGCTGCTGCTGTTGCTACTGCACCACGCAACCACACCGCACCGCATCGTCTCCAATCCTCTGCCAGACAGTTAAAAATAGATTGCATACTCGTCTGACCGATGCAGCATTAGCAGCAACTGGAATCGTCACTCTGCCTCTGCTTAGTCAGCGAAACCAGCCCCAGCCTTCGCCTGCCCTCTGCAGCACCTCCTTTTTGGCATCCTTTTCAACCCACTCTCCCGATACGGCTGCCTGCCTGCCTGCCTGCCTCGCTCTCCTAATGAAGTAATCATGTGCGAGTGCGTTTTTTCGGTGGTGCGTTTCGAGGCCATTTGCCAGCGGCCGTAATGCCACCCCCCATTTGCGCAGCTTTCACAATTTTCATCAAACACTTGCTTACCTGGCGTGGCCTGGGCCGATGCACCACCCACCCAGCCAGCCAACCAACCAACCAGCCAAACGACCACCCAAACCACCCGTCGCATCCGCCGCAAGGTCTTTTGTAAATTATGTGCGTCCAAGGCCTCGAAACAGTAGGCAGCAGAAGTACATCCGTCATTGGCGCATTCTTTTGGCATGTCGCCTGCATCGCAGTTCTTTCACCTCTTCCGTATTCTTCTCAACCTCCTAGCTGTCCTCCTACTATTCTTTGTTCCGCGCTCTCCTCCTTCTCCTCCGCTGCT